AACAAGCTGAGGCTAAAGCTACATCTCCCACCAAAAAACAGCTGATGATTCACGTAGAAGGCATAGAAATAAAAATACAGTATTCTTGTATTGCAGTGTAGAGCTCCTAGGATTAAGTAGTATTATGTAATACAAGTATAATAAGGATAAAATGCAAGACTACATAACTCTGTCGCTGCTTAGCGTCTGTACTTCTGTTCGTATTTTTGAACAGTATGTTTTCACTCTTAACGTTGCAGGAGAAAATTTCCCCAGGATCTAATAAAGAACAGGACACAGCCACTAACATTAACCTAAACTCTCATCCAGGAACAGCTACACCACAGTGCAGAAATACTACACAGCTAATGTGCTTGTCCTGAACAGGCTTTCTTTTTTTTTTCTTTTTCTTTTTCTTAACATCTGTAACCCCACAAAATAATGTAGCCAAGCAAATTAATCACATGCTCCTTGGCCGTGGAAGCAACGCTTGGTTACTTCTGGTAGTAAGCTGGACATGCTAACATTTGCATCTTATATTATATTAGATAATCACACAGTGTAATCCATTATACACACTTTTCCTCTTGGAGCCACCCACCATCCTCGTTAACTGCGTAGTAGTATTCATCGTAAGGTGTCGTAAGAGTATCGCTCTTATGACACTTTGATACCACATGTGCTTTTTTAAAAATGTAATAGTGCTTCTTTTCTTTACCTATGTCTCCTTTTCCTCTGAGCTCTCCTCTTTCATTGATTCCTCCATTCTGTTCCTCCCCCCCTCTATTTCGCCTCACTTGTTTACCAGGTAAAGTGTCCAACCCAGCCAGTCTGAGACGAAAAGGTGATAAATGAGCAGAGGAGCGAGGGATAGGCAGTGGGCCGGGGCTGAATGAGAGAGAGAGGAGAGCTGATGCGGATAGAGAGAAGGTGGCTAACGGGAGTCTGAGAGTGGATATAATGAGAAACAGGGGAGAGGGAAGCTGGAGGAGGGGTGGGAGGGGGAGAGAGGAGAAGACTGGTGAAGGGGAGAAACGAGGAAGGGTGGCGTGATATATGAGAAAGAGAGCAGTGCGACGGAGGGATAGAAAGTGAGGGGAAAGTCATAAATGGGAGAATGACGGCGGATGAGGGTGGCTGGAGATAGAGAAGGAAAGAGGGAGGCTGATAAAGAAAGGAGAGAGGGTGAAAGATGGATGGCAGGGCGAGGGATCGCTGTTCTCGCAGAACTGATGATTGAGATGAGAAAGTAATGGCTGTCTCTGTCAGCACGGCATTTAAATACGCAAGGCAGTATTTAAATCCAGCATGTGTGAGCGTGTCTGTGTCTGTGTGTGTGTATGTGTGTGTGCGCGTGGAGCTGATTAGCAGTCATCTCAACCAGCCAGGCATTCAGACATTCACTCATTATCTCCTAATATGGCTGCAACTCTGCTGAGTTCAGCTCTGCAGCGTTTTCTGACTTTTTAGTGAACTCAACTGGCGAGTGTTGGTATCCAGAGGCTGGGGTCCAATATATTTGTAATTATGTGGATAACGCATCATAATTGAACAGGAAGCCCCTAAGAAGATAATGAAGCTTTATCTTTAGCAGGATAACTCTGATGGCCCTTTGCTCCTTCTCATAAAACCCTTGATGAAGTGGTAACTGAATAAGTGAGAAGGTTATGAATATGTAGACTATGATTTCTCTTTTAATGGTAGGATGTCCGGGTGTGCTTTAGAACTAGGGCTGCAAATAATAATGATTTTCCTCGTTGATTCGTCTATTCATTTAGTTTTGCATTAAAGAATTAGACTGTCATAATTTCATATTTTTTCTTTTTTGTCAATAAATCCCATGATAATACCAAAACCAACAATGTGGTAGTCTGTCTCTCAGTACTTTCTGACTTCCCTGTCTGTGGCACTCATCTCAAGCCCAGTTGTTGCTGAGTAATTTACTGGAAACAACTTCAACTGTAGTTTGTATTATAGTTCCGATTTTGTTAATGATTGATGAAAAAATAAAATCTTTTTTTCTGGGTCAGAGGTAGGGGCCTTGATTTTTTTATTTTTTTTTTTGGCTTCTGAGGGGAGACATGAAAAAGATAGAAAACCACTGTCATTAACTTCCATTAAATGTCAGTTAAAGATATGTATATGAAACAAAGACGCAGGCAAATCTGAAATGCTGAGCCTTCTAAAGCTTTAACCAACAAATGTTGGACCTTTTTAAATGATGCTTGACCCACCCCCCTCTTCTGGATGGTGCACCTACATAAAAACAAACAGGCTGTTTTTTATTGTTACACCTAGTTATAAATGTAGACATTACATTTATTATACTGTCGGACTGCCAAACTGCTTTAAAGGTGGAACACACCATATTTTTCAAATTTGAGTCGAATACTGTGCTGTGCACTGTACCTGAACAACTGGCCGTTCTTTTTAAAAATGAGCACAATGACATAAGACGTCAATACAAACATATCATACATGTTCCTGGTATTAGCAGACTGTGAAAGTTCTACATAATGCTGGCAGTTTGGATGATCACATCTTAAATGTATTTACACCTAGATATAATGCATTTTCTCTCTATTCCACGATGGTCGTAAGTGCTTAGGATGCATGTTAATGACCTTGCAAAAAAGGGGGTCTGACTGAATATGGTTTGCATTTCAAAACAGGATTCAGCCACGCAGCTGAATGGATCAGCTGTGCAGCTTTACAGCCTGGCATCTCTGCTGGTCTTCAGCCAAACCGTAGCGGAAACTCAGCCAAACTTTGCCCTGTATATACATTTCATTAGGAATGATGCCCCTGCATATCTCCATCCTTATTCCCTGCACATCCTGTAGCAGACCACAGACACCATATGGCGCTGAGTATGCGTGACGAACAATAAACCTTAATACGAACCTAAATCAGTTTTTTTTTCAGCCATGCCAGTTTTTTTATTTATTTTTTTTATAAAGTTTGACACTAATGTTAACTTCTGGATTTCAAACCTGAAAGTTGCTGTAAAATTATGATTTGAAGTCAGACACCACTTTGATGAGAGATTGCCTGGTCAATCCTTGAACTTTGTCTCAATCGTGGCTGTATTCAGACATGAGCATGAGCACAGCATTCATATGAGCGAAATATGGGACACTGAAAAACACAACAAAGATCTTGTACCCGCACTGACAAGGGCCTTAAGGTTCCAGTTCAGAGAGGAAACAGAAAAACAGATGCATCACTTAACTCATGACACAAAGAGAGAGAGAAAGGCGGCAGACAAGACTCAATGTACAATATGTCTAACCCGGTATCAAAACAATACTATAATCAAGACCGGGATTGTGAGAGCTCAAACAATCACAATAGGAGGAGCACCAAACGGCAATGTGCTTATTAGAGAGATGCTGACACGGGGAGAGAGATGAGCTGCTACACAGAGGGCTGCAGTTACGACAGAAAGGAGGTGATGACAGATGGACAGATAGAAAAAGAGAAAGTCCTTGGTTTTAAAACAGAGCTTAGCTTGTTTTGTTGTGTGCTGACTGATACCTGGACCTAAAGGACCAGCTGTTCCTGTGAGGCAGACTACACTTCTGCCATATCTCTGACCAGTGATACAAACCTGAAGTTGGGAAAAAAAAAAAAAAAGAAAGAAAATCACTCAGACGTTCATGTTTGATGATCCACTCCTGGGATTTGATGCCACTGATGAAGAGTTAACCAGAACGTATGAATCAAGCAGTTCTCGTCAAGAAGAAACAACATCCCCTCTGGTGCTTTGACCGGCAGCCATTTTATGTCTCGTGTCTATGTGTCCACACAAAGTCAGGCTACAGTCCAGTTTTGGTCAACAACAAAAGTGAAAATGGTTTCATCCTCTTCTGTTTGACCGTCGGCAGCCTCTGATTCTACAAGTTCAGATTGGTGTCCGTCGTATTTCAAGAGTTCTTCATTGTGTCAAGCAGAGTTTCTGTGATGGTTAATCTGTTCTTCAGTACGATGGTGTCTGAGAATGGCTTTCTGTTGGTCTCAGGGTCTGGAAGACACAGAGTTACTGTACTTGATGAGAGGCAAAGGAGAGTGACAGTTCAGGACAGGACTGGAAGCAAAAAGTCTCGCTAGGTCAAAGATCTATAACGATGGTGTTTGTTTTGTTATTTGTTATTTCCCCCCTCATTTTTAATAGACTCTTCACAAAGCCCTGATCCCCATACCTACTGTAGCTGAACCTGTCAAACTTTCCATTGGTTTACAATGATAACGTTGGCAGATTTACCCCTTGAATTTATTTGCAATATTTGAAACAATGGGTCTGTGATTTCAGACAGAGGTAGACAAAAGCAGGATTTCTCATTTTTGCTGGCGGAAATGAGTAGATTATATCAGTTAGCTAGCTAAATCTGCATCTCTGCGTTGCCTGAAAACTCTCTTGTTCACTTATTAATGTTTCCAGCTGACTCATTTTAAAAGAGGAAGCCTGCGAATGGCTTTTAAGTATATACTTGACATTACATTCTCTTGACATACATGATATATTGCTAAAAGGCAGAGGCTGAAGAGAAATGGAAGTCCTTGTCCTTGCAGTAATCTCGACTCTCCCACTTTTCAGCCACCTGACTCCTGAATCAGCTTTTAGTATTTATAGCATCCGATTTCCACTCATTTCCTGTCAGATTGTCTATTGTGCTCTTCACACTGTAGCTTTCCAGCCTCTCTTGTCTGTTTTTGACTAGCTGCCCATTTTAGCTCTTTGCTTGCTTCCTTCTGCCTGGTTAATCTGCCCGCCCGTTTGTCCTTGCCTGCTTCCGCCTGCAGAGTGAACTCTTTTGAACTTTCACCAGTGTCTGAGTTGTGCTATTGAGTCCTCACTAAATCTGAGCCGTGACAGCAAATGATCGATTGGAAAAAATGTCACACATACAACAATTATAGAACAATTAGTATGAGGTATTAAGTCAGTAAAGACTTCCTGTTCCTCACCTGTCCTGAGGTTCAAGGAGTTGGTTATTGCAGAAGGCGATGCAGGGCTGGTCTTAGACGTTGGTGCGCAGTAGCCCCCCCTGTGGGTGCTCAGGAGTACTGCACTCTGAGGAGTTCTTGGCTTTGTCCTTGTTGTTGTTGGGCTCATTGTCTTTAATGATGTCATACTGACGACAAAACAGGGCAATCACCCCTAAAGAAAGAAATAGACATGGTAATTATTTTTGTTAGAGTGAAAACAGCTGATGAAATAACTTTTTCATTTCGTTTTTCTTTGCTCTCCATCATGGTGAGGTCAGAGGTCAATCAGGACATTTCAGTGGGAATATTTTTGAATGTCACGTCACGGTTGATTTAGGATGTTTTATTAGCTCTCTGTATCATCAGACAATTAATTATAGTCAAAGCACATCATTTGAAGTTGAACTAAAGTAACGGTTCGTCTTTTTGAGGACAGAAGGCAGTCTTAATGCTAAGCTAGGCTAACTGCTTACTATTGTTAGCTTCATTTTTACCATACAAATACAAATATGAGTGCTATCAATCTTCTTATATTCATTCAAGGATTGGATTGGACCGTAAGCTAGTTACATGGAAGGCTGTTAGTTCTGTCCTGCTTGCATTTATCATATATTTTCAAATGTAGATTTGCTTATATCTTATATTGACTATTGCACCTTTTACACTGGGCAAAAAACCCGCAGACATCTGACCTTTGTTGTTAATGTGAAAGGGTACAATCGGCATTCACTCCCAGGTCAAATGACTCTGCAGTAATCACGGGTATTTTTCGACTCCGGCTGCAATCATCAGTGATGTAAACCAGACACCTAACGCTATTTTTTTCCCTTTTTCTGTGCTGTGACAAACACTGTAAACAGACCTATCATCCGCCCAGCACGGTGCTGTTAAACCAGAAACACAGCGGTTACACCCTCCACTGAGAGTGTGCTGCGCTCGGGGCTGCACTCAATAAGTTTTAAAAACACACAATCACCAACCAAAGAGTCTCTGACACTTACAGGAGCACCAACCCAGGGATGAGACGTGTTGTGTCCATGTTACCAGTCTGCAGGACAGCTAACAGCTCACTGTTTGAATCTGTGTTTGTGTGTGTGTGTGTGTGTGTGTGTGTCCCCTCAGTCCGAACAGAAAGGCAAACTCATCTGGCGATGTGAATGGAGTCAATCCACATTTAACCCAGGTTTCAAAAACCTGCTTACATGCACTAACTTTGGTTTAAAAAGGGTATATCATTTATTTTAACATAACCCTGCTGATAAGGGCCGATTCAGCAGCTATCCTCTGATGCGTCAATAAAGCAGACAGATTTCAACTGAGAGAAAGAGAGACATGGATACGGTGAAATGTGCAGTTGTAGATATGAACTTGATCTTTAGATAGCCATGTGAAGCCCGCCTTCAGTGGAAAAGATTAAAAATATGGCAGAGAGGAGAGACAGATGCGAAGAGAGATAGAGAACGAGCACGAAAAAAGGAGAAAGAGAATAATTCATGACGGTGGAGGAGTGTGTGGAGGGTTGAATCTGGCCTGATCGGGCTTCAGTCTCAGCTGTTCTGCTTATGTCAGCCCCTGCTCATCTGATCGCTGCAATACCAAAGGGCTTGATGGGATATCTCACTGTGATATCCCCCCAGCATGCCCCATAGGCCCAATTAAAAGCTGAAAAACACAATTCGCCTCCTTCACTTTCTGTTTTTTTTTCCCACCATCCTGCTCTCCTTTTTTTCTTTTCTTGAGACACAATTGCTCAGTCCCCCCCCCCCCCCCCCCAGCTCCCTCTCCCTCTCCAACTCCCTTTGAATCTCCCTGTCTCTCGCTCAGCTTCGTGTCCTCTCATGGGTAATTGGTGAGGGAGAGCTTGCCTTTTGCTGTTCCTATATGCCATATACAGTATTTGGGCCATATTTATATCTCATTACACTTGGTAAAGTGGGTTAGAGAAGAGTATTTATAGCTGTGTGCATCTGTAAAACAGTGCTGAGATGCACAAACAGATATCTGCAACAAAGAGCTAATGACTGGGAGGGTTAAATAAGACGCATCCCTATTCTTTCAGTTTGAAAAACTATTGTACAGATGCAACGACTTTGTATGTGATGATGAAAAAGTGACCTAGTCATTTTCTACACTCTGGTTATGTGAAGTGTGGTTGCCCATAAATTATTCCATCAGTGCAAAAGTAATTTTAAACAGGAAGAAAAGTTCTCCCTCTGTAACCGAGCAGCAGTTTTTATGATTGAGTAGCAGCAGGTGACCGACGCCGTGTTTTTTGTTGACATCAATATGTTGTCATTATAATGTGTGAGTCAGAGTTTCTGCAGCTGGTTAAGAAGTAAAAGTGAAAGCTGTCAGATATTTCTGAAGCGTAGGCAAAAATTCCCTTTGACGCATATATGTATATATATATATATACTGTATATATATATATTGGTGTTTAATCTGTACAAGGTTTAAAGGTTTAGAAAAGTTTTAAAAAGGTTTAAGAGTTTGAAGATTGGAGCATAGTTTGTACATGAGCCAGCATGTGCAGTCAGCCTCGCGGTCTAACTCGGTTAGCAGCATAATCTGTTGGTCTTAGTCAATCTTTTTCCTTACTATGATGGTAAAGTTATAAAACGAACAGCCTAACCCAAATTCTATTCTCAGGTAGAGGGGGTGGGGCTTAGTCGTAAGCCGCTATTGAAGATGTTGAAAAATGAGTTTGTTTATGGGTTTCTGTACTGTGACTGAGTGATTTTACTGTGTGCGTAAGAGAAAAAAAAATGAGTTAGGTTGCTAATGGCAAGTGGCTATTAGCATTAGCCAAATAGTCATTAGCTTTGCTTGAATATTGTTAGCGTTGCATTTGAAACAATTGGTTAAGACAAGCTGCTGCTCGGTTGCCCTGAAATAGCGAGTAGACCTGTTGATTAGCTGATTAATGTGAATCAGGAGACGGATATTTGTGATTGTGAGGACGACATTAGGAAACTGGACCACCATGGAGAGCTGCTTCTCTCATGCTGGTGTGCTACTGTGGACCGTTGCTGCTGTTTCTTCTGCTCACTGCTGGACGTCCATTGCTCCGATTCCCTTCATCTACCCCTCTGAGTTTTCCCACGAAACTTGCATGTGGCTTTTGGTTTATTGCTTGTGCCATTACAGTTTCCAAGGCTTCTACATGTTTTATTTAAATTTTGGTTTAAGTTGCAGAGTGAGAGTGTGGGCCCCCTAAGGACTCCTAATTAGAGGTAACAGAAGGAAGTTAAAAGACACTTTAAGTTATAGAGAGGTTATGGAGGATTAATAAATAGCAAAATTTTATTGTATTGCCGTTACAGTATACTTATTGTGTTATATGTCATCATGGGTAATTCATGTTTTGGTAATGACCATCTTGAAGGGAAACTTATTATTCTTATATCTTATTGGAGGCACTGCCAGTAAATTTTAGTTGCAGAATAAGAGAGCAAAGGTCGTAAGAATAGAAATCATTTACAAGTAGAAGTATTAGCGCCATTAAATTTCAAACTGTACCCAAGGGCCCATCCATTGTGCTAATACGCCGAGCAGATTCACTTAATTTCATATATCTACATGGGATGGGTGTTACAGTGGTTTTTTGGGAGTAAACGAGGCACTGACTTTACTGATAGACTTTGCTATTCCAGCTTACTCTCATTAATTACATTTAATCAGTGTGAGGTCAATAGAAACTCAAGTGACTCATACCTGCCAACACTTGGATTTGTTTGTGGAGTCTCCTGTATTTCAAGCTAATCCCCCAACAACGTCCCCTTTTGTAGTTTCTCTCATGAAAACTCCCGTATTTTGCTTGGCCCTCAACATTTATTTTAAATAATAAAAATAAATACTAAATAAATAAATAAATAAAATTTGTAATGTCTTATATTTCCCTTGGATATTTTAAAGCTTTATTAACTAATGTTTTGTTTTTTTATGACTCTTGTAGTTGTTTTTCTTGATTTCTTGTTTCTTAGTTCCTTGTATTATGTAACTGAGCCGTCTTTGTTTTTCTTGACTGTGTTGTTGTGATTGTTTTTTGTTCTCAGGTCTCTCTTGGAAAAGCAATCTTAATCTCAAAGAGACTTCCTGATTAAATAAAGATTAAAAAAAAGAAATTAGAGCCCACCACATAAGCTCACATAAAATACAATGTCCATATTTCATAAGTCAGTTCAAGTTTATTTTTTATAACTTGAAAGGATTGTTGATTTAGGTCCATGACAGACACGTTGGATTTCATTTACCAACCTGTTTTCCATGAGCACATTAGACCACTCTTAGTTTGACGTTAACAGGCTCTACAACATACGACAACCTCTGTGTTTGGTATGGATAAGGAATGTATGTTTATGTATCTATTTATTTATTATATTTCATGTATCTTATGTTCAAGTGTGAGTGTTTTTGATCAGTTTAAAGGTAAAGTTCGACCTCAGACCCTGAAATGATGTTTGTTATGATTAAAACACATCTCCAACAGAAAAAAAAACAACTAAAACTTACTTCAAAAAAATTTTTTTTCTTTGACTCAAACACATCTCTGTCCATTTTGACAAGTTACTATAATAGCTTCTTGCCTCTTGACACAGTTTATTTTCCATTTCCATAGCTGCTTTTTGTTGATGGGTGTACAGAATGGAAACCTGGATTTGATGTGTTGTCATCACCCAAAATGCACGCTGGCGAGCCTTACATCATTTCAAAAGCACTGCAGGGCAAAAAATAGTCACCGCAGAGAGATGACACCACCACCAGTGTGTGTGTGTGTCTCTTAATAGGACCTCAGTCTGAGAGCTTATTTGCCCCGAAGAAAGTGGATTCCTATAAGATCTGCAGTGATAAATGTGCAATGCTGAAGCCGAGTATTACCTGCCCACATGATGAGCACCACTACAATGATGATGAGTTCTCCGGCCCTCAGCTGGGCGGCCTGACCAAACTCCTCCATCGTTACCTCGTCTGGAGAGAGAACACACACATATACACACACACACACACGCACACGCACACACACACACACACACAGAGTCAACAAAGTGCCACTGAGCACACTGCGATTCATTGTCCCAGAGAGCAAATGTGAAATTGCCATCACTCCGGAAAGTCTGCAGGGGAAGATAAAGGAATCAAACAAGGCGACAGGAGAACAGAGAGGCCGCCTGGTGTAAATTCTGCACTCTGGTCAGTGTAATTAAAGCTAAGTGAGAGCAGAGGTCCGCAGAGACGGAGAGGACCGGATCCTTAACCCTCCGTCACTCACTGTGTTTCTCTGACAGGACTCTGGCAGCAACACCAATCACGGGGTTAAAGGTTTCAATACAGTCCACTGCAAACCCTTGGTCTCAGCGGGCCTCACGCTAACCTCATTTCCCATGGTCAAAGTGTCTCGCTGCTCCAGCCAGAGCTGCCTCCCCCTGTATAACATCTAAAGGGTTGAACAAACAGAACAGATTTGACTGTGCTTGCATTTTGAGGTGATGTGAATACTCTCAGAGGAAGGGTTGACCACACACTGGTAAAAGGGGGTCGGTCTTCACTAATCACTTAAGCATTACACAGAAGCTAAATGATTTCTTTTATTTTGAAATACGATCAATTACATGTAGATGTGAACTACAGGGAGGGTTGAGTTTTCCCTAAGCCCGGTCTCCTCAGTTTTTCTTGTCAGAGTCTGGATGAATCGGGGGCAATGCTGCTCCTCTGGTCCAACTTGCTCTCAGGTCTCCTGTTGCCATGGTGATCCCTCTGTGCTGAAGCTGAGGCCTCAAGCTTGACAGAGGGGAGCTTATACTCTAATAAATTGGTAATAGCAGATTACATGTCTCTGTTGTAAAGCCAGAGCTCTGATTTTTTTTTCTGATTCAGACGGATTCACACACTGACATTTCATGAAGTCAGCAGACTGGGTAAATGCTTACCTTTGCAAGTGCTGTGTATATGTAGGAGCATGTGTCGCCATCTTGCATTATTCAGCTTGTATTCTACCTTATATACATTCTTAAGTTGATTCTTAAATTGATTATTTTAATTATGAATTCATCTGCAGTTTTTTAATTTTTTTTCTATAATAAAATAATAAAATATCACAAGATAAATAGAAAATAGAAAGAAAAAATGTTTTGCAGGATCTAAGGTGACGCCTTTTAATTTTATTGTTTTGTATGACTGATAGTCTATAACCAAAAGATATGCCATTTAATTTCTGATAAAATAGATCCTCACATTGGAGAAGCTGGAACTGGGAAATACTTTTACTTTTACTTTTACTTTTCATTTACCTAAATTGAGAATATTGATTAAAGGTCCCATATTTTACACTTTTCCAGTTTTATTTTAAGTGTTGACATGCACAAGAAGATAAATTTGTGGTTTTAAGAACCAAAAACCATCTCAGTGTAGTTTTACATCTCCTCTCTACGGCTTCTCTCTGGAGCTCTGGTAACAGCCAATCAGAAGAGAGGCTCTGAGCTCTATAGCAGAAATATAGCAGATTTCAGGTAAACACTGGGCAGTGACTGCTTTGTTGTGACATCACAAAGTTACAGAAGTCCTGACGGCTCATTTTAAGGCTCTTGTTCTGAATAAGGATTGTGTGCATTTGACATGTTCATTTGACACTTTCACAGTATTAAAATAGAACCTAGACCTGCTTTATAATTAAACAAGACATGGAAATCTCACTTATACAATATTGGACCTTTAAAACCTTTACATGATTTGCAGTAATCTGACTTCCACAGGAACCTCAGTTGTGTGATAATCCAGTTATTACCTGCGTCAGTCGATAAGAAACACGACACTAGTGACATACAATAATGGAAAGAACACGTAGGGAATTGGTGTTGGTTGTTACATTACACGCATTACATTGCTTTCAGTCCACCTTGTGACCTTTGAACCATGTGTGCAGAATCAAAATAGCGATACAAAACACACCAAGCTGCATTTATACAAGAGAGCGGTTTGAACGGCTGCCAGACAAAGCAGCTCTGTAAATCAGGTTACAAGTTATTCCCTAATAAAAGTCAGATAAGCTTGTTACAGTGTTTACTGTTCACGGCAGCTGCAATAATCAAAGCAGCTTTAATCAGGTTGCAATCAAATTATCAGATCCTTGTATCTTCTTGTCTACGCTGTGTGTGAATGTTTGTAACTGCGAATGTGAAGCAGGGTGTTGCTGCATGGCGCTCGGTGGATTGTCAGTGATGAATTAAAGGTTGAAACAGTTCCGACAGTGAGCAGTGCTCTGTAATATTTTACCGCCGTTAAGGATTGATTTACAAAAACTGCAGATTTTGCATCTCTCTGTGTAACATAATGACCGATAATAAAACCTTATACCTCAACACTTGCCACCAAAAGATTTCACGCCGTAATGAAAACTTCAGTGCACTCAGGACTTTTGCCATCGGCGGGAAGAAAGATGAACAGACGAACAGACAGACAGAAACACAGACAGGATGTGTGTTGTGTTGCATTGCGCCTGCAGATACTAAATGGTGTCAGGCTGATTAATACCCGCTTAGAAGGGGAGGAAGGCAGTAATGGCTGAGAGATTTAATCAGGACAGCTAATGAATGCTTCCACTAACACACACACACACACACACAATTTGCACCCGGGGAACTTCCATCAAAGTCGTGGCAAACAAAACGAGTCAGCCCCCTCAACATCAAGACAAAGTGTGCACCTAAACGCCTAAGTCATGTGACCTCACATACACAAAATTTAACTATGGTAACAAATATTTTTCTCTAATACTAAGTCTTAAAATCATTTTTTTTCAACTAAAATTAAAAACAACAGTCAAAAGTGTTAAATAGTTTTACTATTATTTTAATTTTTTTTTTTCTCCATCTTTAGTTCTTTCAAGAAGTTAAAAAAAAAATGTTTTGTATGTATATGTATATATTTTGACATCTATATTCTGTTATGTGTTTGTTCCTATAAAGTATGTGATTGTGTGTGTGTGTGTGTGTGTGTCTGCATGGTTATGAATAGGATGTTGCCTTAGGTTTTTCCCTGTGTTCTATTGTTTCCTTCCCTTGTCCAGGGACTGCAGAAAGAAATTAGCTAGTAGCTAAATCTGGTACAAAGCATCTCTCCTTCTTTTTAGATTCATGTATTTTGTACATGGTCCCTGATATAAAGAAATTTAATTTAAAAAAACCCAGTTCTAATCACTGTGGCATTTTTGCTCTTGTCAATCAAACACTGTGTCCTGGGCTGTAACTACTTCTCTATTGACATTTAATTTGTGACTTTTTTTTTGTCGTCTGATCAGCTGTAGCATCTGTCAACGCCTGAGTTAAACATCAAACTTATAAACTGAACATACATTGAATCACTATTGTTTGTTTAACTGCTTTTAAAACAGTGTTTTAAAACGAAAACGATATCTGTCCTGATGACTGTTTCAGCTCCATATTAATCTCCATACTATCACAACTGAAAACACATTTCACATGAACATTCACGTACACTGGGAATGTGCGTGCCGGTATAAACAAGAAGCAAGTTGTCTACTCTGCAGTAGATTAGCTGCAGAAAATACTGCAGATGAGGAACAGCAAAAACAGTTGTAGTGTTACAATGCAGAATTTAAGTCGACAACAGCTGCTAGCAAACAACAACAAGGTCAGTAACGCTTGTGAATTGCATTCACCGCTCTAGTCGTGACCAACAAGACAGGGAGCGAACGTGTGTCTACATCATCATTTCCAAAGGTCTCAGATTTTTCCTGTCCACACTGCAATGCAACCCTGGAGTGGAACACTTCAGGGTCTGGAGTGTTTTCTAAAGTCTCCGTTTTAGGGGCTGCAAAACTCCAAGAGTGGTGTGGATGCCAGGCGTAATGCGTTTTAAAACCAAAAACGTAGTGTGGACGCAGCCGAAATCTGGCAGCTACAGTTTCGTCAAGTCCGCTGGCAAAAATTGACGGTCTGGTAGAAATGGGAAGCCTGTTTTTGTATATCTGCCTGATATCAAGGACCCATATTGTGTCAGGAATAACTAAGATGCATAGGTGCTGTAAACGAATTGAGAGTTTACAGGTGTGGGATGAAAAATGACCATTTACAAATGAAAATTTCCCTGGATTGTGGCTTTAATACTGCAAAAGTAACTTGTTAAGATGTACAGTGCATATCTAGCTTGGACACTCACAGGGACTACAACAAGCTCCCACATGAGGGTGTTTCTAGGGAATACACTGTTCCCTAATATTCCCACTCTCCTCCTCTTATCAACTTGCTGCTGATGAGCGTTTAGCGTTTGCTGAGTCCCTCTGAAGCAGCCGCTCTTGGCGGCGTAACTGGGTCGGACGTGATAAAATTGGAAGTACTGCAAGCCGTTCCAGATAACAGCATCCTCTGCATTTGAGAATGAGAACAATACATTGTATGGGAGGTGGGTCTCACAAAGATGGCGAATGCGGTGTTTTCTTTGTATTCAACTATCACATAACCTTGTTCTTTGTCGTGATAAAGAATACACTGAACATTAGTCCTCGGCTGTGTTATTGTTTCTGATCAAAAGCTGCTTTTTGAAATCTTTGTACGCATGTACCTGCATGTGTAGATGTGTGTGTAGGTTTGTGTGTGTCAGCAAGGGGGGAAAAAAATAGATGTTTGTTTACTCTTATACTTACATTTGTGTGTTCATGCATATAATGAATTTTAATGGTCGACCCATACGAGTGTGTTTGTAGCAGAAGTAAAATCTCATTACGTGTGTAACATTCATCTTTTCCAGCTTTTGATGATGATTTTCACTGTACAATGTCTGTGTGCTTGAAAAGTAACATATGACTTGATCACAGTGGTTAGACATCTCAGAACAGGCCTCCAGTAATAGTGAAGAGAGAAACAGGTAAAACGAGCTGCTAATTATGCTCCAGTGTTCCTATAAGTAAGTACAAAAAATAGGTTTACACCCAGACTTTACAAACAAATTAAACGCCGATAAATTCCCAGATTGTCAGATAAACTGTTTTTAAAAAATGAGTCCCTCACCTGGACTCTTTGACGCCATCTTCTCCGACTCTTTGGGCGTTCGGAAGAGGACGGGCTGACTGGGTGGGCTGCTGCCTCCCATGCTAATGCTCTGAACGTGGACGATGTACTCGGTGTCTTCATCCAGATCCCACAGTGCACAGGAGCGCGTGGTGGTGTTCACCTCCTGGATGAACCTCAGCATGCGTACATCCTTCTTCTTCAGACGGGGGGGTGGGGGGGCGGACGAGCAGGAGAAGAGAGAACAGGGTTGGCAGGGTCAGTGTAATGTGATACTTCATTGATCCCTGCGGGGAAATTCTTTGTATTTTGGCAGCACCTCAGCAGAGAACTCACAGGTCAGGGTTAAACTGACGCATCAGGTCACTGTCTGATATTTTTAAACCATACATTATAGTGGGTTTTGCCAAGAAGAAAATTCTGGGGCAACCACTTACTATTTGCGATTTCTTTGACGTAAAAATAGGCACAAACAACAATATCTGTCATCAAAACCCTGTATCACCTGAACTAAAGTCACAGGTTCAGCTTTGCCTTGCTCCCTCAAGGCAAAACAAAACAGCGTTTCTACTTGTTAGCAGAAATGTACTGAGTGCATGTTTTTATCAAATGCAGATTTCTGGTGGCAAAGTCAGATTTTCCTGCTGATGATCCCTCGTGTGAAAACTCTGCCCTCTGGTTCGGGTTGATGTGGTGCAAATGTGTGCAATGTTTTTTTTTCCAGAAATGTAATTAAGCTTAAAGAAGAGTGCGTCTCTGACCATGTGCGCTCTGCTTGAAATGTACATTATTATCCAGCTAAGACTGTTTGCTCAGGTCAATTGGTTCCTGTTATATCAAGAGCAAGTCTCCTCAGGGGCGCTTTTATTTACCAGGCAATTAAAGTGGAGAATTTCTTAACCTATTAAAACAAATTGTCAAAATGTACAGTTGAAAAGCATCTACAGCTACTTGGCTACAAAAATTTGACTTTGTCTATTTATGTAAATCAGCGAGTGTCTGACACTGTGGACCCTCCCACTAACAAAAAAGCCCCCCTGCCCCATTTTGATGGGACATTCTGAGCTTTAATAACGTCAAAAAATATTAATGGATGTTGTCACTCCTGCTGTTTTTCTTCGTCTTTACTTATACACTCACTGAGCACTTTATTAGGAACACCACACTATACTTGGTACTTCCTTCTTTTGCTCTCAAAGCAGCCTCTCTCAGTTCTTTGTGGCATTGTTTCCACAAGACGCTGGAAACTTTCCACTGAGATTCTGCTCCATGTTGTTGTGATTGCGTCACATCATTTCTGCAGATGCACATTCATGCTGCCAATCTCCTGTTCTACTATATCACAAAGTTGTTCTACTGTTTCTATTGCACTGCTGTTGCATGATTGGCTGATTGGATAGTTGCATCAATAAGCAGGTGTACAGGGGTTCCTAATAAAGTGCTTGATTAGTGTATTTGAGTGGTACTGGAACTACAATTACCACAATGCTTTTGAGGATGTAAAGAGGAAATATAACATTTCAGTGGATTCAGGAAGTTGTGCTGCGGACCACACTTTGAGCCCTGGTTTTTTAGCCTATATTTATTTACATTTTGGCAGATTATTATTATTATTATTAAGTCAAATCAGCTTTTAACAGTTCCTGTTTGCAATGTACCCATGGATGTGAAGAGAATATCACTGGATTACTTTGATGTTGAAGAAAACTGTGATGTAATGTGATGATTCTCAGGTGAGTCCTGGAGTTATGAGGAGTGTTTTTTTTATGATTTCTAAGCAAATTTATAAACATTTATTTGTTGTAGATGTAAAAAATGATGATATTCTCAGAGGCCACGCTGAACCTAAAACTATTTGTTAAGATTGGACTGAGTAATGACTCCAAGAGGGGGTGAGATTTTTAATGTGAATTACAGCTTAGGGTTTTAAGGTTCCTTAATTGCCTCCATAAACTGTGTGCCATGCCACAGCTACTAAGGTGAGCCAATCAGCACGCCAAACCACAGTAACTAAATACCTCTTATTTTTAGATTCACCATCATCCGTCCTTTTCACCTCAAGTTTCTTTGCCTCATATCTCGCTCCCCGCAGTTTGAGAAACTCTGATCTGTCCAAACTTGTCACCCTCTCTCTCTCTCTCCCTGCACACACTCGCGTGAAGGACATGACACACACGGACATATACCTGTTGGGTGATGGCAAATCCGATGACGGGGTCCCCCTCCAAGATTTCCCATGTGACCACGGCGGAGTTGACCTCAAGCTCCCTGATGGTCACATTGAGCGGAGCTGACAGCAGGGGGTCTGACACACACACACACACACACACACACACACACACACACACACACACCCACACGCACACACACATAATCAGCACGGCCACAGGAAACAAATAAGAAGAGGCAGGTCATGAATATTTTGTCTTTAAGTCTTGTAATACACACAACAGATGCTCCTGTGTAGACCTGAACACACATCTTGCCCTCTCCATCACTCTCTCTCTTTGAACTCTCTTGCTCTCTCGCCCCGCCTTCCCTAAGATCTTCTCTTATTCTCCCACAAATTAATCTTCTTCCTTTCATTAATACCAGGCCTAATTAACCACACACAAATCTCTTGGTGTTTCCCTTGAAAAGGCGTTCTTTCTCATCTGTCTTTGTCGTGATGTTTCTCTCTCTCTCCCTCTCGCTCTCTCTCTCACACACACACACACAAACACACACTTTCTTCCCATCTTTACCTTTTTCTCTCAGGAGTGAGTCCTGTCTCCCACGCACATCTCATTAAAGTGTGACTCATGAGGATGTATTTCCTCTGTCATGCTGACAATTGATGTTAATGTTTGGGATAAAAATCTCACACCCCAGAATGCAATGCACTTGTTTGTCAGGAGATTAACTATGATGGATTAAATTACATTCTCGCTTAAGTTTCTTCCCTCATTACCTGTTAAGGGAGCACAGAGTTGCATTGGTGTGTGTATGTGTGTGTGTGTGTGTGTGTGCGTGCGTGCGTGCGTGCGTGTGTGTGTGTGTGCGAGCAGGCATGTCACTGTTCTAGTACAGTGTCAAGGTCTGACTCTGACGTTGTTTTTACAAGTCAGACTCATGGGAAATACAGACCTGGCTCTGATCGCAGAAGACCTTGACAAGACACACACACACACACACACACACACACACACACAAACACACGGAGGATTAGCACTGAAACGTACATTTATCTATTCTATGTTATAAATACTCCCAATGGACAAGCACATATTTCAGTTTATTTAAATTAGTTTCTCCCCTAACACAACTTTTATTCCACCAGGGGAATGCTGGGAAAGAAAATGTAAAATTTGCATCTTGGTAAATGCTAAAACGTAGTGTAACAGTAAAACAAAAAGAGAAGGGTCATAAAGTCAAAAAAGAGTTTAGAACAATTGAAAACAAATCGTAAACTATGTAAAAGTGCCTCTGCTGCTTCACTTGACAAGCTAACTGATGACGTCAAATTTCAGCAAATCACCCGATACCTTTGTCCACAATTTTTCCACCTGGACTGTCAAATTCAAAGAACCTAAGTCTGGACATTACTTCTAAGATCGTTTGGTGTCATTATCCGCTCAGCGCAGCTTGCTAGTTTCATCCATTTTGTGCCAACAAAGCAACACAATCGCTACAACGCCTAGCTCACTAAGAATGACAGTGGATTTTACCAAAGTCCTGCTGCTCTTATAAGCTATGAATTTCTACATCATACATTTGTATTACTTTTGTTCAAATGGTATTTCAAATTTCGAATAAAAAGAGACAGAATCTATCTGAGTTTTGCTAGCATTAGCTCACGTTAGCCACCATGAATACTGCTCATGCGAGACCAAGTGAGGCTGTAGCTGCAAAAAGCCCGAGTGTCGAGTTGAGCAAGGCAGCATTTCATTTCTTATGAATGCTCCTTTTTTATCTGTAAGAGGAAAATTGTGCTATTACATCCTTCAAAAGTTGCAAACCTGCCCTTAACGCTGCTCTTATGTTCACCCTCGTCTCCAGCCGTGACCTTTCGCACTCCATTTAAAAGTGTGTGTGTTTGTGTGATACGATTACAGTACAGTGCTCTTTCTCTCCCTCTCTGTTTACCTGCCAGATTACCAGCAGAGATTGCAGTCTGTCACTTACAGCAAATTAGATTGTCACATTGTCTCACATCTCTGCAAATATTGAACCTCCAGTCCGAGACTTGTTCGGAGAGTCAAACGATGGTGTTACAGGAGGAAGAGCGGACTCTCCTTTTCTCTTTGTTCTCTTCTTGTCTGCTCAATGCGAACACAATCCTCAGAGCACAGCAGAGAAAACTGGAGTGTTACATGGTGCTGGTGAAATAAATTTTTTTTTTTTTTTTTTTGGTGGGCGACAAATTCTCTCAGTGGCTCCCAAAGGCTCTGTGCGTGTTTGCTGATGCAGAGTAGATGTGTGGTGTTTGTTCAAATACGTGTGTGATACATAACTATGACTCCCTGTTTGACTAGCTGTTTTTTCCGCTGTTTATCTTCCAGCACTCACACATACACACACACACACACACACACACACACACACACACACACACACACACACACACACACACACACAACCACACACACGCACACACACACACAAACAATAAAATAGCAGAGAGGGATTCCCATCCATTCTTAAGCTGTTTGCTGCCAAAAATGCCAAAAGCTGGCTGCAGAATTACAAAACTCCCTCTTAACGCTACATTCATCTCCAGCCTCAGGAAGCCAAATATCAAATCTCTAGAGGCGGAGATAAATCCCACATGATCATATCACCAAGATTTGGGCTTTTCAAAGGACTATCTGTCATCTCTCAGTTTATCATCCAGATCCAATGTAACAACATTAAGATCCTGCGCCTGAGATGAATATTCTTGTGGAATATAAGCTGCTGCAGGTTAAAAATATGCAATATCATGAAAGATAGATGAGGTACTATATCCAACATGCATGATATATGATTAGAAGCTATGCTGGGCGCGGGGCTTTGAATAGGAATAACTCTTTTTTTTTTTTTTAAATCTCATTTCATAGCCCTTCAGGACATCAGTGGATGGCGAAGCTAAAGTTTTAAAGCAGGGCTGCACACTTTAAGGATGCAACTAAAGATTATTTTCATTATCGGTTAAACTACTGATTATTTTCTAAATTAGTCAATGTTGAAAAATGTCAGTAAATACTGGAAATCGCCCAACATATTTTTCCAGAGGCCAAGGTGACATCATACATCTTGTTTCGTCCACTAACTTGGTCTTTGATTGACTTTTAAAATTTTATTTTCTTAAATTATGTGCACATTTTTCCAGTGTATTTCCCTTAGAAATTGACAACTTTCTTGAACCAATCACACAGTACAACAAAGATGATCTTTCTTCTTTCAAAATAGAAATATGCTCCAAACTACAGGGAGAAAAACTTGGCTTATAAAGCCTAAGTCTTGATACAGTAGGAGACTAAATTGTGTCAGCCATTTTTGGCATTACAAAGCTTATTGTTTCTACCTGGCTGATGCAAATATTGATGCTGATGCACGCAAAAAATACCGGCACATGCAAATACATCCATAACAATGTGTCATGTCAGGTGGCTTTCCAAAGGGACCTGCTACTCTGTAATAGACTACATGCATCACATTAGACAGCTGTGGTCCAAACACACTGATACTACACAGCAGCATGTGTTTGATCAGCTAGTGCATCATCATCACCTTGTTTACTCGTGATAATCCCTCTTCAACCTGTGGTAAAACTCACCGGCGTTAACGGAGGACACCGAGAGGAAGCCCAGCAGGAGCAGCAGCACCGCCGCAGACAAGCCTGGTTTTGCCATCCTCCTGCTTCTTCTAGCGGAGCTTCACATCCTGCGCGGCCCATTTATAACATCCCATTTAACGGGAGGGAGCGAGCATCCCGGTCGGTGCCGGAATGGGGACTTGTTGTCCCGGAGACTAAGGCTCACCTGAACTTGGACGCTGCAGCAGAGGCGCAACAACAGTCAGAGGAGGGAGGGAGGGAGGGACGGAGGGAAGTGAAGGGGAGGGGAGGGGAGCTGTTCGATACCGTGTGCGGGATGTCGGTGCTGCTGGAGCCACAGCGACGGCCCTCAGACTTTCAGTCCCGCTGCTGGTGACGGAGCGGCGGCGTGGAGAGGCTTTTACTACGCGCAGAGGTGAGCAGAGCGTAAAAGGAGTGCGCAAGTGCTGCAGAGTGCAACGTGGAGCCACAGCTAATGACTCTCTCTCTCTCTCTCTCTCTCTCTCTCTCTCTCTCTCTCTCCTCTCCGAACCACACACACAACACACACACACACAACACACACACACACCACACACACACACAACCTGCAAGCAATCCTTACCCACTTAGGAGAAATATTGGCCAAACTATATATATATATATATATTAATGTATATATATATATATATATATAGTATATACTATGGTATATATATCAATATATTAAGTGGTGTTAATAGTGCTCATATGATTAGTTGATTAATTGATTAGTTGTTTGACAGACATTTTGACAAATTGATAAATGATAACTGATTCTAGATTCCTCAACATGAGGATTTGCTGCTCCTCTCTCTTTTATTAAATTAATATCTGTAGGTTTTGGATTGTTGGTCTGACAAGTTGTGATTGACATTTACACAGTTTCCTGTTTTTATAACAATTAATTTTTAATAAAGAGAAAATCAACAGATTAATTGATACTTAACATGAAAATCAATGTATAAGCCCTAGACATGAAAGCTGTGGTGTTTAGCTATGTCATAGCCTTATCTGACTATGTTGGCCAAGTTGATGAATTTACAACACAAAATTAACGTGACAAGAAGTACTTTCAGTCTTCAGTCCACTTTAAGTCATGTTTTGTCCAGTGGTTACAAAGCCAAGTGAAAGTGGAGTGTGCGTTAAGAGAGACTCTCCTCTTGTGATAGTGCTGTCATTTAAAAGGACACTTTAAATGTGTCACATGAAGGTCAGTTTACTTGGCATAAGAAGTACCATGTTGTATAATTTCTTCTGTGGCTCTGGAGCTGTATAAAGTCCCAGAAAGTAACTCATCAGAAACTACAAATCTCTTTTTTGTCCTTTAAGTTTGTCTCTCATGTTCCTCAACTTCATGCAAATTGCTTTTAAAATCATAAACAGATCTTTTTTTTAATACATTTTGCCATGAACAAATGTGTGGACCCATCACTGGTCAGTCATGTTCACAGATATGAGTGAGTATAATTAGTATTCATCTGGCTGAGTCATGTATAAAATATGGATATTAGGACATAAATATACGTGTAGAATGTAAATGAGATGATAAAGACAGGTGACTTTCATTTCAGCACTATAAAATGTCTGGCCAATAAAATCATGCATGTGAATTAACAATGCCTGGGCTATTACCAGGATTATCTCTGGATAAATTTCATGGAGTCTTACTTTTCAAATAAATTTGGTGGAGAATTTAGCACCAGATGATTTCATGTTTGTCACAGAAAAAGGATGAATGAACTCAATTTCCCCTCAGTGAAACTGACATCCAAGTCCTCCTCACACATGGATTTAATTTCTACCAAGGAATCAGCTTGGATTGACTGGATTAGTTCACAGAGCTGAGATTTTTTCTTTTAGGGAGAGGGAGTGGCAGATGGTGTAGGTCGGTTGGAGATTCAGGGTTTACATTGCCGGAAAAACTATGATCCTGCAGGTATCAGAAAAAGTGAACAATTTCTGCAAACTGCTGCTACAATCAGACTTTGTTTTGTGGTAATACTACATAAGAATATGCATCTAACATTTTAGTTGTAAAGTGAAATGATTGCACAGCACCACAGCAAAGCCCTGCAGCAGAATACACACAGATCAGCCATAATATTAAAACCGGTAACTGGTTTTAATGTTGTGGAATCATTTTCTAGCACATTTCCTTCAGCACACTGTCTGGCCTTGACCAACATATTAAATCAAGACAGTGAAATCCCCTTGAGTCTGGAATGTAAGCAGGAAGCATGATTCCTTATGTATATGTATAAAGCAGTGGCCCACTTACTGTTCCCTATACTATGTGGTCAATAAAGAGAAAAACAAGGGTGCACCCACCATAAACAGGAAACTAGTCCTGTGTCTGGTCTATAATTAAAACACAGGGGTCATATTTGGAATAGAAGGACCTATGGGTCCCACAGCTGGTCAATAAAATGAAATGAAAAGTGTTTTATATCTGATCCAAATAGGGAAATGTGGATTCTATATGGTCTATTAAAAGGACATAGAAGCAATATACGCTGTCCAGTCAATAAAGAGGGAAGAGGGGTCCTACAGCACATGGGCACCTTATCAAGGATGAATTAGGGTCACTGTTTCTCCTGCAGTATGGAAGAATGACGCTGATTGCTGTCACATATAAGGACCCAGGGACAAGACTTGGCCATAGATTACACAGATCGATACGCGATTAACATTCCTAACAGGGGCCTCTTAATGTCTCTTTCATTTCAATGAGAAGAGGCACAATTGCCACTCTCCGTGTCCCTCCTCCGCCTCTCTGCTCTTCACTGTCTTTGGCTGAAGGTTACGAGAATGATTTTAGACGACAACAGTCATATCTCTTTGCTCTGCCACTGACAGTTTTATCACTCAAGTTAGGTTCAGATGAGCAAAATCTCCTCTGGTGACCTCTGGATTCAACGGATCCAGCACACAAAAATGACTTTGCCTTTTCACCTATTGCAGGGCTCATCTGTTATTTTCATGGACCATGATGCTGAGAAATTTATTTTGGGGAACTTCCTTTAGAGGTTAATGCATTTGGATGCAATGATAAGAAAGTTTATGCAGATTTGATGTGGGTGTTAGGGAATGAGAAGAATATCTTAACTGCTGAAGAGGTGAGAAAGATTGTTGTTTGACCTCCACACAAACACTCACTCACCCTAACAACAACACTACGTTATTCCTACAGTGTGGCTATGGTAACCAGCAGTAAGTTTATAAAAAACCTAGCTGAGTGTTTTTAATCTTATATTGTATGTCTGTTATCATAGAGAGCTTCTGGGTAATGTACATCCATCCGTTGGCCATATTTACTGGATGGATGTACCCCGGATGTTTTCCCAAAAGCCCTGAATCTTCTATGAAGTTTAGTATAACATCATTTATATTTATAACTTCAACTTGGTGTCATTTCCTCTCAGTCTCTCTGACTGGACCGGCAAATCAATGGAACTCTATTAGTACTGTACTTGGGGAAATAGCCATTTGTATTATTATTTCTTTTCTTTTTTATTTTCTCACAGTTTTGAGGGAAAATGAGTAAGAGAGCACGGGGACAGGACACGACAATCTACAGACCAGGAGAGGAAGCAGGAATAGAAAGGCTGAAGAAAGTTAAGAGAAGAAGAGAGGAGAAAAATATGTGATGAAGAATCAGGAAGAGAGGGGTGGAGAACAGGTGAGAAGAAGACAGAGGAGGAAGTCTGGATTTGAAGAGTGAAGAGGAGAGTAGACAGGGAGGAGTGAAAGAGAAAGGGAGGAAAAGAATGAAGGAGGAAAGGGGAAATGAGATGTGAAATCTTGTGCAGGTGAAGAGAAAGAGGGATGGGTATGGAGGTATATTTTGTCTCAATATTATTTATGTGAACTGATTGACAATCAGTGAGGAGGTTAAATGTGTGGCCTGTAAACATTAAACACCTTCCACAAATACAAAAAATACATTTGTAAACTCACAAAAATATCTTGCAAATATAAAAACGGATCTACAAACAAATTTCACAAATAAAAACATATCTGTGAATACATTCAATCAATTTAAAAGTAAATGAAAAGCATTAGTGAATATCTTTCTAATATTTACAACTTTCAAATAAACATTTTTGAATCAATTTTCTTTTCTCTACACTTGTGGATTTGGTTTTCACTATGTGTTTATGGTCTGAATTGCTAGTTTGAAGTTTTCTTCAATACAACATGATTTTTCAATACCACATTTTTCAAACACTAAGGTAGGCGGTGTAGGCGGTGTAGGTGGCTGTGCATAGCAAAGATTCTCTATACAGTTTTTCTTGTTATTACAGCCTATTGCTGCACAAAGCTCGGGCATTTTTAACACTAACTTATGGATTACTTGTCCCTGTTTGATTTACCAGTAACACCTGGTTATATGTTGCTTCCCTTTTCCCCTAGCTGGGTCGTAAATAAAAGACATATGGTGACTGGGAAGCCAGTGCCATGACTTCATATACGGATGTCAGAAACCAACATGGCCAGAGTGAACTGAAACCTGGTTCTGTGAGCAGTCTGCGGTCAGTAAGTGAAATACTCTGTGAGTAAAATTTCCCGGGTTGTTGTATCTTCTTTGCTTGAAGAAATCAACTGCCCGGTATTGGACATAAGTCCCACAGCGTCTGGGGTTTTACTTTCTCAGCAAAGAGGTTCCTCAAAGGGTTTATATCTTGATGCTTCATGTGAACAGTGCAACATCTACTGGCCTGAATGCAAAATAAGCAAATAAATAAATAAAAAAAAAAATATTAAAATAAAATTGTATTTTATATTCCAAACATAGATTTATATACTGTAAAAACAAATCAAAATGTTTTGTATGCATCAAATGTGTCAATATCAGTCAAGTTAAGCTCAATGTCTTTGTTTTAACTTAAGTGTCAAAACTGTAAGTTGGTTTGCAATGTGGGCAAAGAACATGTAGCTTTACTTTTAAATATCAGCTTTGGTGGTTGTGCTGTAAAGGTGCAATATAAGATCTGGCCAGAACTTTAGTTTAAAATGTTCAAAAAATAAATTATCACTATCAACAGTGTGTGAAGG